GCCAATTTGTGACCCATCTGACTGTGTAGGTATCAATGCCACAGTCGCTTAGTTTTTTAATGAGAATGGGGTGAGAGACAGTGTCAAAGGCCTTCCTAAAAGTTCAGAAAGACTACATCCACTGTGACACCTGCGTCCAAGGATTTTGTGACCTGATCATGTCTGATAGGACCTGCCCCTATGAACCCATGCTGGTTGCCCCCGAGTATAATCTCCCCTGCTGGTCCCTTGCAGATATGCTCCTGGATAATTTCTCAAACAGCTTCCCCAGGACTGAGGTAAGAGTAACGGGCCTATAGTTACGTAGGTCCTCCTTCCTCCCTTTTTTGAAAATGGGGCCACAATGGCCTTTTTCTAGTCCTCTGGCACCTGGCCAGAGCACCACGAGTGCTCATAAAGCCATGCCGGGGCCCCGCAATGACCCCTGCCAATTCCTTCAGCACCCTGGGGTGGAGAGCATCTGGACCTGCTGATTTAAACACGTCCAGCCCCACCAGAAGTACCCCAACTAGGTCCTCCCTGACCCTAGGCCTGGCAGTGCCTCTCCTGAGTTGATCCGAAATCCTGGTGGGAGAGATGTCCCGGTCCCTGCTCAGGAAAATGGAGGCAAAGAATTTGTTGAAGAGATCAGCTTTTTCATCTGGTGCAACCACCAGATTGCCAAGCGTGTCCTGCAGGGGCTGCACGTTACCCGGTGCCTTCTTTTTACTCCCTATGTAATTAAAAAAGGACTTGTTATCTTTAATCCTGGTCGCTAGTCCTAGTTCCGTCTCTGCCTTAGCCTTCCCAACAGCCCCCATACAGTCTTGAGCAATGGAGGTATGATCCTCCTTGGTGATAGCCCCTCTCTTCCACCGGATGTACACCTCCTTTTTAGCTTTCAGATATTCCTGAATGCCTTTGGCAGTCATTGTTTTTACTATAGTTTCAATATTTATGTTGTAGTCTTAATAGCACTACCTTCTGTGGTTGATCTATGTAGTTAAATTAAGAAGATGGAACATCATTTAGGACACTTCCATTTTTTTTTAACATGATTGAAATTGAAGACCTGCTTATTTGCTGTCATGGCAATAGAGATGCATGTTACATAGATAATGTAGATGATCTGATTACTGTGAGAGCATGACTGCCACAAGACATGTGACTTAATTCTCTGGTTGAGCTAATAAGGATTGTAGCCTGGAATAACATTCTGTGCTTGTTGGGTTTGTTTGTTTGTTTTCTCTCTAGCATCCTCAGGTATTGAGGGTAAATAGAGTGGACAAATTGCTGAATAGGGCCTTTTAAGAGCTAAAAATATATTTGACACAAGCAAAATAAAAAATATTTGTTCCTCTCCAGGAAATACCCTCCATCTTGATTTTAACTGCTTTAAGAAAGTTGCAGTGGCAGCTTTTAGCAACACTTACTCCAATTATTCCAAGGCTGTTGTTCTCTTTCTACTCTAATATCTTCAGCAGAGCAGAAAGTGAATTGTTTATACACAAACACCAGTTTTGTAAAACCGGAGTTGTGGAGTAAAGCAGTAGGGTCAAACCAACAAATTCTTATACTTTTAATATTTAGATTAAACTCACTTGTACTTGGAAGTGTTATACTTGTCTAATTTCCTGCAACTCCTCTCCTCTTGCAGTTACAGATCCTATTAATTTGAATTCTAGTTTATTTTTAAAAAAGCTAAAAGTAGTTGTAGATGTAATACCTGCTCCTGATACCTGTGCCAGATATTGTGGTTTTACAACCATGTTTGCCTCTTTTGAGATTCGTTTTTCCCCTGGTTGAGTGAATGATGCAACCAAACAGGAAAACTGAATGTTGTAAAAAATATGCATATACAACCTTATCAGTAGCACAAAATAAACCACAGAAAATGTGTATTACTATAATACAACCAAAGGAAATAAAAGGAAATTTCAAGCGTGAGTTACAATCATAGTAGTTCTCAGAATCAAATTTTTACAGAAGTATGTTTACCTTGACACAATACCTTTTTAACATGAATTTGAAAAAAAATCACTATTTATTTTCTAGGCTTTCTGTTATGAAAGAGATTAGATACTTTTTAGTTCAAACTTTAATCAGCATCCCAAGAAAGTTTATTTGATTTTTTTAAAAAAAATTGTTAAACATACTGTTCAAGCAGCTGCAGCAGAAATAATAGTGTGAACTGGTACTTTTTATTAAGTAGCCTGCTAGTTTCTGGTTAAATAGTTTTGTAATAAGATCACTTGAAGTTGAATTATGATGGACAGTTGCATCATTATAGTCATGTTATAGTCTTATGAACAAGAGCTTTGAAGAATTAAAATATGTGAGAAACTAAAGATTTTGCAAGTGTTTACTGAGTCCAGTTCGAATTGAAATATATATAAAAAATGCCTGTAAGGAGTACAAAATGATCAGATTATCATCAGCACTTGATGTATGCATTTACTGAATCTCCAGTAATTCCAGTAAGTACTTGTTAGAGGAAGATCTTGTAGTTTGTAAAGTCAAATGCTTCAAAGTTAGAAATGCCAGATTTAGAGTCAGGGCCAATTGCCAGATATGTGGGACAGGGAGCCTGATCTGGCACTGAGTTCGGGGACTTGCCTCTTCATCTACCCTTGGAGAAAGGAACAGAAATGGGATGCCTGGGCAATGCTCTGGTTTGGTGGAGCCTGAGCTAACTAGACTCAGCTCTTTCCCTTTCTTTACCTCCTACCACTGCAGCTTCTCTGGCAGCTCCTAAGCACTTGCAGGGCATGCATGATGCTGCCTGGATGATGAAAAGCACACTCTTCAGAGTGTTTGTGCATTCTGTCATGGTTTTGGCAGGCTTCCTGTGTTTCCCTCAAGGAATGCAAGGGAAAGATGGAAAAGGGCAATTTTTACTAGTTCATAATTCTGCTACATACAAACAGATTATTTCTGGAACAAAATAAAAGCACTATAGCTTGAAACCTTCTACAAAATTTCAAAGGCATTGTGAAGACAGAGGAGGAGGTGTTACAGTTCTTAGAAAAAACTTTTAGAATGGAATTTGAGATTATGTAATTATAGGGGTTACTACTCCATTAATAAAGACATTGGCTTCTATACAGAAAATAAGGAAATGCTGTAGATGTAGGTAATCCTGTTTTTTACATTATGATTTTATTTCTTGATCTTAGATTTTAAAAAGTCCCTTGTTTTTAAAAGTATTTCTACTTTTACATAGTTTCATCAGGCCTGATATTCTGAGGCCACTTTATATTAGCTGTGTAGTATAATGTGGGCTTAAAAATGAATATGTCTGTAATTTTTGCCTGCTTTCCAGCCCTTCAACAATGTTAGAGCACTGAAAAGTGGCTAATATACCAGTAAATGAGAACATTGTCTTTATTTGAGGTATTTCTGACCCATTCCCACATGAGCTCATATAATGTGATATCTGAACTGACAAAATGACATTGAATATTTAACAAAAATGGTTTTAAAAGAATTATACAAAATTATACTTAAGTTAAAAGATGGACAAGGAACAAGAAGCAGTTAACACTTTATAAAAATAAAGGCTAGAACTGCTACATCATATCCGCCCCCCTTCCCCCCCCACTTTAGCAACACAATTCTTGCTTTGTTTATGCAAAATGTACTTATAAGCTATCTGGTTAATGCTATTGAAGCTTAGCAACATTGTTACAGAATTGGAGACTTAATGCTTGTCTGCATGGAAGTTTTAGAAGTAAGATTGTTTTGATTATATGTTTTACTGGACCAACTCTATAGTTGGAAAAGATATTAAGATAAGCTTTTTGGCCCCAAATGCCCTTCCTTAGGTCTGAGAGAGAAGCAGGAACATTCTAAGCTAAATACCGATTAGAGCAATTAATTTGGTTTAACCTGATTAAGTTAACAAAACTGATCATGGTGTGGACAAATGTTGCATTTGAAATGTTTCCAAGTACAATAAGCTTAGAACCATTTTAAAAAGTAGGCTTTCAGTTGTTGGAAATATATACAGCCCCTGTAGTGTTTGGGAGCTGGACAGTAATACTCCCTCAGCAGCAGATGGGTGTGACGGGGCAGACCTGAGGCCGGGTCTTATGCCGGCCCGCCCACGTGCCTCTATGGGGCGGCCCGCCCAGACTTTCCTGCCACGACTGGCTATTCTATAAACTGTTGGTATAATGCAGGAGACTGCCCATTACTGCCCCAATGCCAAGGGGTGCCATCTGCGGCTCTGGACCTTCTCTACACTGTAGCCCATGCCTCACAGATGGCACCCAGATTAGTATTGCCCCCTTGTCTGAGACCGGAGCAAACCGAGTCCAAAGTTGGGCTCCACTCACCCGTACATTCATACCACCTCCTCTCTCACAGGAGGCCTCTTACACTCCACCCCACTCTCACCGGGGCCTCTGATATACTGCCTGGTACTGGGTTACACTCCACTGCCCTTGCTCCTCCTTGAGCGGTCGCTCTTAGGCCATCTGGCTTTGCTACTCGCATACTAGCCTCGCCATACAGTCCTTTGGTTCCCATGAGTTCCCCTACTTTACGTAGTCTGGCCTTGTGCCAAACCCTGGGCTAATTCCTCCCCAAGCCCCTCACTGGGCAACTCTACGCTACGCCCTACCCTGAGGTCTCTGTCTCATGCTTGAAATCAACTTCTTATGGGGCTAGCCCTTGTGCTGGCCTTCAGGCTTACTCCCATTTGGCCCTACTCAGTGCACCCCTAGGACTGTCCTTTAGGCCTACTTGCATTTCAGCCCTACTCAGCCCCCTCACACGCACAGCCCTTCAGACCTACTCTTACAGCTCTACACACTACCCTCTGTGGGGTCTCCAGGATCAGCATCCCTGCTGGGCTCAGGCACCTACATGTGGGCATACCTGGCCCCCACTGCTCCTCCAGCTTTCAGAATTACACACCAGGAGGGTGGGGGGCTGGGGTTGAGGCACCCCTACCTGCCTTTCACCAGGGGGGTAACTGGCCTGGCACTTCCTGGGGGCTCCCATGCCACTAGGAGCCTCACCAGGCTACCCTTCCCTGGCAGGGTGCAGTTTTAGGTCATGCCCAGGACCAAGAGCCACCTGCTCTGACCTCTAGATGTTCCATGCCATTCAGCCAGGTGATGTTTCTGCCTGGGCTGGCAGCAGCAAACTACAGCCTTTACATACCTAGTGTTCCCAAAATGGCTGCCCTCATCAGGCACTTGGTAGCTGCCTGCCTCTGCCCTTAAAGTGGCAGGCACCCAAAGGTGCACTGCCACAATGGGGTATGGAGTCTGGGAGCAAGGGCAAGCAGTGGTCAGGTGGAAGAGAAGTGGTGGGGCATGGAGATCTGTGGTGGCAGCAGGACTATCCTACTGCTTGGATTCCAGCTTTCTAGCATCTAATCCCCAAAAACTCTTGTCCTCCCTTCTTATGAGAGAGGTAGAGAAGATTGGGGCTTGAAGAGCCAGAATTCCAGTTTTGGTGGCAGGTGCAGTGTGCGGGAATCTTGGCATGGAGTGTGCAATCCCCCACTTAGGACCTGACAGTGCCCCAGTACCAGGAGGATCCTAGGACCTGAAAGTGCCTAAGTAACAGAGTGGCTGGGAGCAGGACTCTGTAGCTGACCTTCAGTCAGCCCATCAGCCTGTCCATCCCACTCCCCCTCTACCCCTTCTGGAGGTGGGGGAACACGGGAAAGCAGAGTGCTGTGGGATTCTGAAAAACCTGTGGGTCCCCTATCACTGTGCAGACAGTAATAGTAGTAGTAGTGAAGTGCCTCAAAATAGTAAATCATATCAAGAATTACTGTTTTAGAGTGCTTCAGCTGCTTTTGGAATGTCTGTACATGTGGCTCTTTGAAGTGTTTCAGAGGCATTTGAAATTCTTCAAGTGTTACATCTGACCTGGGAGTTTCAATTTACAATTTAAATCATATTTAAAAAAACCCCAAAGCTTCTTACATGGTCAAAGACTCAGATTCCAGCTTCTAAAAGAGTATCTAAAAGAGTAGTATTCCCTAAAGAAAATTTCCTTGGCTGCCAACATGTACAAAAATGGGGGAAGGGTTAACACCTGCTTTATATTCATAATTATAGTGCTTAATTTTATGCATGCAGATGCCTGCAGGTATGCTGTGTACAATCTCACATACATGGTCATCTTTTCAAAAAGTATGCAGAAAGGTTGCTGGGACAAGCTTTCTCTAGTTTAAAATGACTCCAATGATTAGGTCATGCTAATGATTACACCGTAGGTGCTAATGCCTAGCTGCTCAAAACCTGCATACTGTGCGCTGGTACTCGATTGTAGTTTTATAAAGAGTAGGTTGGTTTCTTTCAGTGAATGTCTTGAGTCTCTGCATGTACAGTAAATATGTTACTGTTTCAACAGGTCCTGCAATGGCTGCAGGAGTCTTGCTGCAAAATCCGTTACCTTACTCTTCCCTGTTAGAGAGCAGTGCATATCTTGCAAGTATGAGTTCAGGTAATCATTTTCTCTAATATGTCTTTTTAATGAGAATTTAGGTGATTTTTTTTCTGTTTCCTTTTTACAAAGGAAATAGATTCAAAGAAATAAAAGCAAAATAGATCTATGGTGGCTAACTTTTGGTAAAAATGTATATATAATACAAATGTTTCCCTGTACAGGTTTCCCTCCATTTATGTGGGTTCTGAGTATGCAAATTCGATCTTATGCGTTGAGGATTTTTAGACCCATAATTCATTATATGAGAGGTAAATTCACTCTTATGTGATCGGTATAGGTGCCCCCTGCCCAAGCAGGTAAGTCTGTGGGAGGAGGGGAAATGGCTGTGGAGCTGAGGCCCCACTCACCGCAGCCCCTGCTGCAGCAGTCCAGGGAATCGCCAGTGCCAGCTGCAGAGGGAATCGTTAGTGAGTGCAAGGGGGTAGGGGGAAACATGCCTCTTGCTGCTCCACATCCCCTGGGAGGGCTGGGGGGCTGTGACCCCAGATCTGCGCATGGGACAACAGCAGGATGGGGCCTGGCAGCGGCACAGGGTTGTTCCCGGCACTTGGCGCAGCTGCCCTTTCCCTAGTCCCAGCCTCATTCTCTTCCTCCCTCCCTCAAAGCCATGGGAACCTATCCCTATTCATTACATTATAAAGTGGGTTTGCTTTATGCAAATTTGATTTATGTGCCATTTCTAGTTTGTCAGAAGGTAAGCTTTTAGAGGCAAGAAATGAGCTGTACTTTGTGTTCAGAAAGTGCCAGTACAATGTGATGGGCTACAAAAAACAGTAATTGTTACGGGGTTAACCATTATATGATGACTCTCATCCTTTCAGCTGAGTACCTCCAAATCCTACTAAACCTAACGGGTGAATGATGACAGGATCATATCCTTTGTCTACATCAATTTTACCAGGTCTTGGCTTTGCTATCTAACTCCCTAGATTTTGATAAATACAGAAGAAAAATCGCACAGAATATTAACGAGACACAATTCAAGCTAAGGAAGCAAAATGGTCGATTTTGAAAAGTTACTTAAATTCACTGGATGTAGCAAGTATTTTGTCTCTATACCCTCTTCCCCCCTCCACCCTGATCCCCACCCCTACCCCCTGCCCTCTAACACCCAGATAAGAAGATTTTTTTCTCCCTCCTGACATCAGCATTAGGGTTGAGCCAAGAGAATAGAGACTGTTGGGCACCACCACCAACAACAGTCAGGGCAAGCAGCTTGTCTTACTTTCTATCACCACTGCAGAGGCTGTCATCTTCAGCAGACCTGTCCTTGTGTCCTCAGTAGACAAGTGACATTAGTTTTCTGTATTCAGGAATTTGCTTTCAGCCTATGATTTAAAAAAACCCCCCAATAAGTTATGACCTGAATATTTTTCAAATGGAAAGAGTCACCTTTTATTTAGCAGGGTTTTTTAATGCAAATTCTACTCCAAGAGCTACTAGCTGCTTTTGATACATATGTGCAAGTCCTAATGATGTTAAATGAGAATCATGTGCCCTGAGGGCAATACATGACCCTAATAAAGGATAACAGGAATAACTCTATGCATTAGGCAGTGCTATACTGATGTTCTTCACTTGCCTATTAGTATCTATAACATGCACTTTAATATACAGCTGATGAGATGATGATATTGTTTAAATATTTTTACAGTCATTGCCCCAGGCAGGAGCAAAACCCATATCGGTCCCTGTGCTTTTGATAAACTTGCTTTTTTTTTTTGGCTAAGTCAAATTACCCTCTTAGCATGGAAGCAAGTGAGGAAGCAGCTTATAGCCCAATACAAAGCCCTCAAAGCTAGAGCTCTAAAATGAGATGGCAGCTCCACCCAATATTTTGCCTTACCTCAGCCCAGTAGAGCTAAAAGCTTTGGTTAATCAAAAGCTTTGCTCTGAAAAAATAAACCTCTTGTTTTCAATAACAAATTGTGTTTTGTTAGTGGATATGAATGGTCCAGAGTGAACAGTCTACAATTCATCATGTACTGAACCATTTCAATAGGAACACACTAATCTCAATCATTACTAAACTAATGATGTATTTTGGAGCTGCTGCGTGGAGGGAAAGCGGAGGTAGTGGAATGTCAAACTGAGAAGTGGGGGTGTACAGTGTATTTACTTACAGATTTCTAGGAGAGCAGGGCCCCGGACTGCACTTTGATTGCTTTACTTCTGTGTCATATGCTATGTACTAATATATTTTAAAGATACAGCATTTGCTATACACTAAAATTCTTTGTTTATTTATGCAAAATATTTCCATCAATTTCCAAAATTATCTACTGGAAATGCAACTGTTTTCATCAGCTGTGGACAGTTTGTCCCAAACAGAATCCATTCATATAGAATTTAGCTGCCACAGGGGTAGCTGGCATAAGTGGCTTCGTTGTTTGTTACTATGGAAACTGCTCAGCCTATCCTGAATAGCTGTTAGATCATACAGAAAGATGCACATCCCTGTGTAATTTCAGTGTTGAGCAAGTTGGATTTCAGATCCATTCAGTCTTCTACAGCATATGTGAACTATTGCAATCAGCCATGCAGGGCTCTCCCAGGCGGCGCTCAGCTGTTAGTATTTTTAGCAACTTCTTTCAGGGTCGGAGGCATTCTTGCTCCGATCCTCTTCTCCGTATAATCCAAAGGCGCCGGAGTTCGGTTGTGGAGGTACTGTCATCATCAACACACAGGGTTATGGTGGCTATCTCATCCCTAAGCCCTGAAGAGCTGGATGCAACTTTTCCTGAGAAAAAGAGTAAAGTATTTTTAACTTGGTTTTGTTTAATACAAATCATGGTTGCATTTTATAATAGGCTAAATATATATATATAAAATATTGTTTTGATACAGAGGGCATATGGGGGGTCTGCAAGTGCATGCATGCAGACACTCTCTCTCTCTCTCTCTCTCTACTAGTTTTTATAATGGTTAATGTTTTATTATATCTAAACTACCTTAATTGGTATTTTATACGGGAATGAATCTGTTTTATTTTTTATTTGTACAGCATTTCAGTTTAACACCTTTGTTTCAGAAAACAAATAAACAAGACAGTGCTATGAGATTTGTGAGGACATAATAAGCAGTTCTATATTTAGGTAAAAGATGACCATGATATTTGTGGTGTTGTGATGAATGCCACATGCCTATAATATCTTCAAGAAAGAAAACACGTTGATGTAAGAAAAAAAATTACATCAACAACAAGAGAAGGAAAGAGCATTCATTTCACTGAATATCTTTGCTGGTTTTTTATGTTTATATTGAAAAATAGATCTTCAGTATATAGTCCATATGTTTGTGTATTTTGCAATTTAATCAAGTTGTTGGTCTGATTCAAGTTTTGGATAGTGCCTATCATTTGTTAACTTTCTTATTTACTCTATTTTTTGTATGTGTTGTAGAAAGTGCAATGCGCCCAACTGCAAAATATACGAAAGTAGGGGAGCGCCTTCGCCATGTAATTCCTGGTCATATGCAGTGTTCAATGGCATGTGGTGGACGTGCTTGTAAATACGAAAATCCAGCTCGATGGAGTGACCAAGAGCAAGCCATTAAAGGGCTTTACTCTTCTTGGTAATATGCAATGATAAGTTCTATTTAAATTATCTGTAGTAAATAAAACCTAATGAAATAACAGTAACACAGACCTGTATTCTGTTTTCTACAAAATATATAGACTGCCATGATAAATACTCCATGTACTGCAATAAAATGTCAGTTAATGTTTGGTAGCCCATAAAGCCTCATATAAAGGGATTCCTCCCATTAAGTTCAAAGAGTTTGGCCTCAGATCAAAAATAAAATACCTATTTATAGATTATGTAAATATTCTAGATCATAGATGCTCCTTCCTGAAATGTCAATACAGCTATATTTAAAATGGGTTCATAATAGCTTATTTAATCTTCCATAATATTTTTTATTTTAATAATGAAAAAAGCAATTTTCCATTCTGTATGTTTTTATTATTTTAATTTGATGGAATTTTTTAGAGAAAGGTATAAAAGCACATTGCTAGTTAGAGAGAGTTTCTTGGAAAGGAAACAGTGTCTGTATTTTGGTAGACTATTACCCATGAGATCATTTTTCCTAAGTTTTGAATGTCTTTTCTCAGGATAACAGATAACATATTGGCAATGGCTCGTCCCTCAACAGAAATCATTGAAAAATATAGTATCATTGAGCAATTTGAAAGGTAATGATCTTTACTGGTAATGAATTCCTATAAATAGTACTGATGTACCCCTGATCCATTTTTCCCTCCTACTTAGATCTGGATTGTTGGTAAAGATCCTTTCATTTTAGATATACAGGTAAGGATTTATTCTGCAGAAAGAATAAATATATGTTTCAGAAAATAAGGGATAATGAAAATTTAGGTGCATATAGTAATGTGACTCATTTGTTCCTTGCTTAAGATGTGGCATAAAAACAGTAATTAACCTTCAGCGTCCTGGAGAGCATGCTAGCTGCGGGAATCCGTTGGAGCAAGAGAGTGGCTTCACCTACCTTCCTGAAGCTTTCATGGAAGCTGGAAGTAAGTTCACTCCTGCTGCTGTTCCTCATTAATTATTGAGGACAATACTTGCAGATATTCTGACTCTGAGCTCTCTCAGTCAAGAGAAGTTACATGAGGAGGACTACACAAAAGCAGATCTATAAGAAAATGAAACTTAGCAAGCAGAGTCTTGGATTGGCCCCTCACTGACATGTTGTTGGGTGTAAACTAGAGAAGCCATGTTGCTTCAACTGCCTGGTAAAAAGCTAAATGGAAATTGAGAGTAAAGACATACATAGGATACAACTACAGTTCAGACACTTAAATGACTCATATTTTGCAATTAGAATTCAATACACTGATTTCTTTGTATTGGCAGTATTTCTTTTTTTTCCCCCTCTCACATTACACTGAGTTGGGAAGTGTTATCTGCTTAGGAAACAGCCATTAAGTTAAGATATGCTATTATGTCCAAAATAGAATGTTACACTATTCCTATATATAGCTCAGTAATTTTAGTATGAATCATTCAGTTTTGTGATACCCATTACATTCCAGCTGAGCTAAAGTCTGAAACAACTAACTCCAGGGGTGTACAAAACTTTCCTAGTAAGCTTACTGTGAAGTGTAACAAATCCATTTCAAATAAATTATACACAGGTGGATCCTACTGGGATATTTCTGTACTGTGTCAGGATTTTTGTTAATTATATAATTTCTCATCTGCATGCACAAAAAATTAATTCTACACTGTATAAAATAATTCTCTCTCTTTTTTTTTAGTTTATTTTTATAATTTTGGATGGAAAGATTATGGTGTGGCATCTCTTACCACTATACTCGATATGGTAAAAGTGATGGCATTTGCCTTGCAGGAAGGGAGGGTAGCTGTTCATTGCCATGCAGGACTTGGCCGAACAGGTATGCTTTCAGATACATAAATCAAGGTAAATGTTTTTCTAAAAGGTACAATATCAGATTATGAACCAGTACAGGTTTGTTTTAAACTGTGTATTTTCTGTCCTGAGATGTATGCCTATGAGACTGTTAGCATCTATTAAGTAAACATACTGTGTCGTTCTGTCAAATGCAGCAAGATGAAACAGCAGATTGAGAATTAAGAGAAACTTTGTTCCATAGAATTATCTCCCAGCTATATTGAAACTACAGTTTCCTCACCTAGACATTTGCCATTCCACAGTCTCAGATTAAGGAAATAATTCATCTTGTGCTTTTCCATTCTTGAATGCAGCTAGTATGTGTTTGCTCTCTCAGTCTGCAACTTTGATCTTTGTCACTTTTTGAAGATATTTCAAGATGGAATTAATTCTGTTCCCTTTCCAGACTTGTTTCTTTGCCTATGTCCTTCTCTGCAGTAGCCACCATTGCTCCCTGTGGGGGAAAAGAAGTTTGTAAATAACAAGGTTAATAGGGATGCTGTTGAGAGAGAAACTAGCATTCTTAATGTTAGTTGAATTTTACAAGTTTAATTTCTTAACCACTACCTTTATGTTCCTTAATTTATTTAAATCCTTTTTTTTTGGCTTCAATTTGCTTAAAATCCCCTCACATCCACAGAATAACAGCAATGCCTGACCCGTAGCAAGGTAAGGGAATATGGTTGGTGAAGCACCTGCAGCTTCTGATCCTTAGGGCCAGAAAAGAGCTTAAGCTTAACATCTAAGGTGCAAAGTATGTTATATGCAAGAAAAAAGAACAAGGGCTTACCAACTGGAAAAAGTCCATCTGAGGATTCTAGAGACTCGAGGCAAGAAGGAAAGAAGCCAGATGTTGTTTTGTAATAACTCCTTTGAAATAATGATGTCTCCATATTGTGTACATGCATTGTGCACTCACATATAAAATATGCTTTTCTCAGGTATACTAATGAAAATAGGACCTTCCTTATAGAAATGAATGTCTTTCATTCCTGCCCCACATTGTCTAATATTCATGCATTTTGACATTGTCTTTTGATTCATTTGAAATCTGAGTGCAGAGACAAAATTTAGATAAAAACACTCAAAATGGAACAAAACATTCTGACATTCTCATCCACTCTTAGTAGCTCTTAACTAACATCTGATGTTACTTGCTGTTCTTTTCCTGTCCCAAAGAGGCTGGGGACAAAAGACCAGGTCTGCAGCATGATTTGAAGGCTAACAAATTCAGGCTTTGGTAGCAAAATGGTAGAAGTGAATTCCAGAATTCAGTACCCGCACCTAAAAATGCACTGCCTCTGGCCTTTTGTAGTTGAATCATGAATCAGCCTGCAGCTCCACAGAGACGTATAGAAATAAAGGCAGTCTTTGAAGTACTATGTTTCCAAACCATTTACATAACAGCATTTTTGCTACTCTATGATAAGTTAATAGTGGGAGTCAAGTTTCTCCCCTACATACCAAGAAGTGGAGATCTTGGTCTGGTAGCGGCAATACTGGAACAATAAGATATATCAAAGGTGGGGGTGAGGGAAAGCAAAAATGAAAGAAGACGCAAGAAGGGTTAATGTTAGTCATGTGAGCCATATCAGTAACCTACCACTAAAACAGTAGATTTGATGCAACAGAAATCAATGATCATCTAGTTTTTACCAATCTATTTATTACTATCCAAAAAAGTGCAAACAGGCATGTAGGAAGCACATTATGAAACGAAACATAAAAATTGCATCTTAGTGAATGAGTAAACAAAAACATGTTTATCCTTTGTCTTTTAAATTTTCTAGGTGTTTTAGTAGCTTGCTACTTAGTTTTTGCAACAAGAATGACTGCAGATCAAGCAATTCTTTTTGTTCGGGCAAAAAGGCCTAATTCTATTCAAACTAGAGGACAGTTATTATGTGTAAGAGAGTTCACTCAGTTTTTGATCCCTCTGAGAAATGTTTTTGCTTGTTGTGAGCCCAAAGCACACGCAGTTACTCTGTCCCAGTACCTGATCCGTCAGCGGCATCTGCTTCATGGTTATGAGAGTAGACATCTCAAGCATGTGCCAAAACTTATTCATCTAGTTTGCAAGCTTCTTTTGGACTTGGCTGAAAACAGGCAGGTGATAGAGGAAGAACTGTTAGACATACCAGATCTCTCAGCTGAAATCGAAAAGACTGTTTCTCAGTTGCTCTCTACACAACTAGATAAAGAGTTAACAAGACAGGACAGTGATGCATCAGATTCATTCTCCCACTCGGTGAGAGAGAATCCTTTTGAGACCCAAGATTCTGTTTTCTCACTTGAACACGAATGTGATCCTCTGTGGAAGAGAAGGAATGCTGAATGCCTTCAGCCTCTGACTCATCTGAAAAGGCGTCTAAGTTACAGTGACTCAGATTTGAGGAGAACTGCATTTCTCTTCGAACAGGGAGAAACTCCATGGACAGTGCCTGCACAAATACTACTCTGCAACAAACTTAAACGACCTAACAATGGGGAACATTGTTTTACTGCAGGCAATCAAAAGCCTCAGCTGGACTTAAACAAAGAAGCTTTTGTGCGTAGTACATTTACTTTCTGGAGCCAAGGTAAATTTAACTTGGATGGATCCATCCAAAAAGATGGATCTGCACTTTATCATAGAAAAAAATCTCCAAAAGAAGTACAGCGTAGTAGAACCTTTTCAGCAGGTCTTACATATGTACATAATGCTAGGGACCCCAGAACACCAAAGTGTAATTTTGCCAAAGACATGGGTCACAAAGAACAAAAGACTAATATACATGGCAAAATAATTTGTGCATCTGAGGACTCCGATTGTTCTTCTAAAGAAGAATGCTCTCTTGGATGTGAAAGCCAAGATGGTAAAGATCTATCAGAAACAATTCCACACATTATTTTGCAATCAGAATTGAGTCTGGAGGCACGAAGAATTTTGGCAGCTAAAGCTCTTGCAAATTTAAATGAATTTGTGGAAGAGGATGAATTGAAGCAGAAGGTAGAAATGTGGCAGGTATTCTGTTTTTAAATTTTATTCAGTACTGTGTGTATGTGTATTACATGTATATTTTAATTCATTCCATATTAAAAACTCTACTGACCTAATGAGAGAAATCACTAAGACTCTTAGAAATTACATGTAGGACACAGATGATGTGCTAGTTAAGTACAAGGTTGCATTTATGAGCCAAGGGACAGTACTTTTCTAAAGTCCATCAGTGCATTTAAAAATTAGCTGCTGTACATTGCAAAAGCACTTTTTCCCTAGCAGTGAATAGTATGCTTTATCTGCCTGAGAGAACAAAAGATTATGGGTTGGAATTCAACATAGGTCTTATAATAGGTCATGGACAACTAAACCAGGGATCAGCAACCTGTGGCCCAAGGAGCTGGGCAACTTTGGTGGTAGGAGCCTTTGCCTATACCATGGGTGGGTGGCAGGGAGAAGTGACAGCAGCATCATCCTAGCATCAGCCCGCCTCAGACTTAAACTGAGTCATTTCAGGCCACTGCCAGAAAAGGTTGCAGACTACTGATCTAAAGCATTTGAAAAAAAATTTCTTATGCAAATAATCTAAGATTTAAGAAGCAGCATAAAAGGTGGTCACTGTAATAGAAACATTTTATGGTAGGAGGCCTCAGATTGAAGCCAGAATTATTTTTAAAAATTTACATATCAATCTTAGTTTTAAATGGAAAGTTGAACATTTTTTGTGGTTGTGTTTGTTTTATTAAAAATCAGTCTATTAGTTGTGGTCATCATTTTGCAGTTGGTAACATGAAAGAACTTCAGATTCTGTCTGCAAGCCCTTTTTATTACAGATTTCTCAGAGCTAATCACATGATTCTGTGTGTAAAAGTATAAAGGAATTTTTTAGGAAATTAGTGCTTATCCTCAAAACCAAATCATATTAGCTTTGAAGTAGGAATCAAAAGCTGCTTTATATATTCTAGTAGATAATTAGAAAAGAGCAGACCTGTGCTATTCATGTGGTCGTAGTCTAAAGAGCTGATTAATGTTGACAATTCAGGAAAGTGTGGAAATAGATTTGTATTGCTGGTAAACTCTCCTCTAAGTGCTTAAGAAGCCAAATGCTGCTAGAAGCAAAGCATATGTTAGCAAACTTAAATAGATAGTGCATTTTCATTTTTTGTTAGAAAGAACTGAATTCTCGAGATGGAGCTTGGGATAAAATATGTGCTGAGAGAGATCCTTTTATTCTTTGCACATTGATGTGGTCCTGGATAGAGCAACTGAAGGAACCTCTTATATCCCAAGAGGATGTGGATATGTTGGCAAAAAAGTGCATAGAATCACAGGCAACACTTAACTTACTAGAAAAGGTAAATACTGTATATGTCAGTTCACTATCTTATTGCAAAACATATTTTACTAACTTGTATTAAGCTTTGCATTGGTGACCCTTAGACAAGAATTTTACACTTTTAAAGGTAACTCCCTATAAAAAAAATTGCATTTGTAAATATATTTTAAAAAGCAAAGCTGTATCTTGTAATCCACAACAAGGGTGGTAATCAATGTGTTAATGCTAGGGTAGTAGTTACTATAGAAAAAGGTGAAGTGGATAAAATGTTAGAAACCTGTTCTGAAGAAACTGATGTCCATGTGTGCCAGCTAAGGGTATTGTAGGTTAAAAATTCAGAAAGGCAAAAGGCAGGATCCTCTTTCCCTTCAACTGTGCCTTTGGTTTACATACACATTCTGACAGCATTGCTTAATATTTACCATATATAGTTCTTTACATCTTTAAAATGCTGTGTAAACATCTAATAGGAGCCCTGAGAGGGTTGGTGCCATGGATGGAAGGGGGAACTGGCACATCCAGTTAATAATGCTTCAGTAGCATTATTGCATCACATACATCAGAGCAGTCCATGTTTTCAAATCCAGATGAGGAGTTAGGTCCTTGTGCTCTGAAGGTTTTTCATTTAAGTATTCTTTAAAGAGATATGTATATCTTAGTTATTCTCCCTTTTCACAACCTATATTTCCTTATACAATTTGCAGTCTAGTTTGTTTTAATGTATTACTGAGAACTTAGGAAGGTAATTCTTGGATAGTAGGCAGTTCTTGCCTTCTCTGCAGTTATCTTTTTCATGATAGTAGGGCTTTCCCAATTCAGTATTTTGAAATACCAACTTCTTCCTGAACTCAGATCATCAAGACTCCGTCACTGTATTTTGCTGAATAGAAGATAAAATAGCTACTTGGCCTTTAGAAGGAAACTAATTGGACTACTGTTAAAATAAATTTTACTCATCTCTGGGCGTGTCTACATGTGCATTAATGTGGCGTTGCTACTGCATATTAAGTTTAGTACCTCTAATGTGAGGTACTACATAAATGCACAGTAGCCAGTGCTAATGAACAGTAGCAACAGTGCACAGTCCTTTTGTGATGCTTAATGCCTGGTAGACTAATTCTGTTGTGCATTAGTGCATTAACATGTTTTTTGCCATGACACACTAATGTGCCGTAGAATTAGTCTACTGTGATTTAAGCGTCTTGTGTAGACGTGCCCTCTGAATTCTAAGAGTGATATCCAGAAGCATCCTTGATATCATGGTTTTGTTGAAACTGAGGAAAATTCCTCCTCCCCTTTCTTGACTAAAGAATCATATAAGAACCCTGCAAGTGGAATATTGTAGCAATATGTTTCTCTGACTCTTACCCTCAGCAGTTTTAATGCAAGGGTGGCCTATCTGTTCTTAGAGTACTTATAAAATGTTCCCTTTGAAAATGTTTCCTTTACTAATTTGCTGTTTCTTTTACCCTCTAGGAACAATATCAAACTATTCTTTGTATTTTACATTGTGTAGTGAATTTGCAAATGATACCAGCTGATGTGGAGGAAGCTTTACTTGCTCGGGCCATTAAAGCTTTCACAAAGGCAAGTAGTAATTTTGTCCATGACTTGTGCTTATTTGTTAGATTGTGAAGAATGAAGCAATAGTCTTAAATAACTACTAAAATTTTCAGCTAACAATAACTGTGCTTACATTTATATATTTTAGAGTTTAAGTTTTCTCATAGCAGTTAAGGCCCAGGAAAAGTACTGAGCCCAGATGATGGACTTTTTGTAGAATAAAAATGGTATTTTTGGGCAGTTTATCTTAATTCTGTGGTCTCTTCATTTCTGTGTCACTGGGTCTTTTCCTGCAGGTGAATGCACAGCCAAATTATTTCAAACTGGCCATAAAGCACACATTCTAATGAATATTATCTTCACCATTAAGAACTGCTTACCCCTGGTTTTAAGTAATCGTTCAAATCAAGCACAATTCATTATTGGGCTTTCTCGAGAAATTCCTCTAAGACTTACTGTTCTTAAACATGCTGAAGCCTTTCTTTTATCCTGTTTGTTCAGATTACTGTTGCCCAGGGTATGATAGAACAGAGCTTGTCAGCCATGCTTTACACTGATAACCGCCCAAGAAATCTAAGACACATTACATCAAGTCCCCAAGCTAGCACTTTTCAAATGTGACTGACACAGTGAGTCTTCACAGACTTTGGAGTCTGTTGTTACTTCGGTGCCATGCTATTTGTTTTTGATGACTGAAGCTGCTGCTTCTGTGCCATTAGCACTAATATCATCTGAGAGAGATTCCTTGGTGTACTGCCTACCAAGAAGTTCCCATTTATTGACACATCCACATCAATACCACTGAGCTGGAATCTGTTTGCTTCTGTAACTATTTCTCTTGGCATACGTTCTGTTACAACTTCTCTCTTGTCTTCTTACTTGGATATTTCTTCAAAATCTACAGGATGCAGTTCCTTCCAGCACAAGGACCAAAAAGTAATGACTATAAAAAATTTCCCTGAAAATATGTTCAGTAGTAATATGTTTCTCATAGAGAAGTCTAGAGATCCACTCTGTCCTTGGAAGAATGTATCTTGTCTGCATCTTTACGGTGTAATGACTAGGGCTGTGCAAAACTTTGCACACAGGGGACCCCCCACCCCCCAGCTTGGCGACTGGTGCCTCCTGGGTCTGAGGGGGCACCTGGGGTCTCCCCACGGCCGCTTGCTGAGCGGGGCAAGGAGACCCAGAATTGGACTGGAAGTACATCTGGTCCACTTCCGGGTTTGCTGCCAAGCACGTGGGGTGTGCGGGTGGCCCAGCGCTCCTGTGGGACACTCCATCTGCCCCACCATCTCAGTGTTCATGAGCCATGCCTGGAACCTCAAAGCATGTAGAGAAGACATTTAAAGCTGTGTCTGTGGTTGAATTGCTGATTCTCCAAATTGGCATCGAATCCTCAGATTCAGATTTGGCTGAATCGAATTGGCAGTGATCAAAATCAGCTAATCAAATCACTATCTCCTGAAGCGGTCTGAATCCGAATCGAACACGGCCTGCTTCACACACCCTTAGTAATGACAGTAGAAGTCTTTCTTTTAGATGTTCTTCTTGGTGGTCTTGATTGGTTCCTAAAAGAGACTTACAAGCCCTTCTCATCACAGATCCCATGCTTCTCACAGATATCCAATGGCTTGGTTCCTACCAGTGTCATGATAGGTGTTTTTCTGGGATGTAGTCTTGGCTTTACTGGTCAAGGTGCAATGCTCAATATTTCCTTACTCTTTATCTAGCCAGATCTATTCCTCCTAAAGAACCATCTAAGACAGCTAACCCATCCAACCAGGAACTGGAACGTAAATTTTGTATAAAGGAAGATCTTTTAGAACAGGGGCGGGCAATTATTTTGGGCAGAGGGCTGCTTACCCAGTTTTGGCAGGCCTGTTGAGGGCCACATGGGTAGTCCCACCCCTTGACAGGTGCCCCGCCTCCTGGTTACCATCTTGGGACCAATGTCCCAGGGCCAGCACCAATGGGGCCCCAAAGCGGGGCACAGGTTGGCAGGGTTCTGTGGAGCTGGGCTGGGCTGCACCAGAGGGGGGTGAGGGGGGAGCTGGCCCAGCCCCATAAATCTGGTCATCATTTTGACCCTCTGTGTGTGAACAAAGCTTCCTAAGGAGCATCAAGAAACCTCAGCCAGATTGCCCATGTCTAGCTACAACAGCATCCAGTGTTTCAGAAAATGACAACCTCCTGTTTCCTGCCTCTCTAAGGCCAAATAAAACAATAATTGCGAAGGAAATAGTACTTCTTTCTACAGGTGACCAGCAGAGGCCCTGAAGTATGGGTTTATACAACATCTCTTGCATACATACCACATTTCCTTTTAACCTGATCATAGGGAATCCACATTTTGCAGGCACTGTTTACTGTTTCCAGAACACCCCTGTCCCATCATGCCCTCCCATCCATAAATGTATCAAGTTGTAGCTTAAAGCAGTTAGTTTGTTCACTTCATGATTAGTAGTCATTACTAGGAAAGAGTCCTACCCCATCTGTTTTTCCCCAGCTTCAAAAGTGCATATTTACCAAATGCTTTTCGGTGGTGGTATTTCAGCTGAGATAAGGTCTTCAATACTTAAAGGTATTTTGATATATTTATTTATTTACTTTTTAGGCAATACCCATTCTGCTCTAAGATTCTCATGATAGTCAGGCTGGTATGTTCGTTTAGATAATTTCCAGATTTAGGGTCTATGATTTCAGATGGAATTTCTATTACACATGAATATATTAGAATGCAGAGCTATTTGCCTAGCCTGCAATCTATCAACACCTAGTAGACAGTATGAGGACAGAGCACAATATAAACATGAGATGGAGCAAGATGTTTACCTTTGCATCAGGAAGCAATTCCTCTGGGGAATGGCTCATACTTTGACTCATCTTAATTGCCCTTCATCTGGCAGGTATCTAGAACAAGTTGGTGAAATATCTCAGTAGGATATCATAGTCCACCACAGATGGGAGTTAAAAAATGATTCTGGTTCAGGTGTTTCTGAACTGGAGTTATTTTCTACAAGACAAAACAAGAAGTATTCCATATTGTGCTCCCAAGAAGTAGTAAGTCCAGGCTGGTAGGAAAAGGATGTGGTGCATGCTCTCTTCCTGTTCTGTTAATCCCCAGAGTCCTTAGAAAAACGTATCAAGACAAAGCTCAGATAATGGTAGCTCCAGCCTGGGCCAGTTTTGATTTTCTGGACTGATGCATCTATCTGGTGGTCAACCTTTTCTGCTGCTCTTCAACATTCCAGGCACCATCCACAGAATCATAATCCAGTACTTCATCTGACATCCCTACAGCTGATGGTATATAGATTGGCTGATTATATTTTTTTCTGATTTTAAAAAAAGAAAATATTAAAAAACAACAGGTTTTGATATAGCACAAAAGCCTCTACAAGGTTCACATGTAAAGAAAGGCTCTTGTATTAGTTTCACAAGTTCTTCAGCGACACATTCATCCTTTGGAATCATAGGTAATCAATTAAAGACTATTTGTTGTTTTAAATAGTCAGTGCTCTTCATCAATGCTGTTGGTCATTTGTTCACTATCTTTGTATCATCCACAAGTGAAGATCATTCAGCTTTTTTCCCCCACCGTATTTTATCAAGATTCCTGAAGGGACTGATTCATGGTTCTAGTTGAGGGATCTTGTCCTACTTGAAACTTAAATGTAGTGCTTCTGTCCTTGATGAGAAGTACTTTTTGAACCTGTGTGATCATTTTCTCTCCATAAAAGCTACACTCCCACTGGCTATCATTTCAGATTGCTGAGGAATTAAAATACAAGTTTGATGGCAAGTGCCTTTAAACATTATTCATTTAGGATGGAATTACTGAAACTGAGCCAAATATTTTTACTGATCATTGTTTGGTATTGTCGTATCAAATCTGTTTCTCATAGTTTCATAGTTTCTAGGGTCGGAAGGGACCTGAGCAGATCATCTAGTCCGACCCCCTGCCATGGCAGGAAGAGCACTGGGGTCAAATGACCCCAGTAAGGTGGTCATCCAACCTCCTCTTAAAAACCCCCAGGGTGGGAGCCTGCACCACCTCACTTGGAAGCTGGTTCCAGACCCTAGCCGCCCTGACGGTGAAGTAGTGCCTCCTGATGTCCAACTTAAACCTTCCCTCCACCAGCTTGTGACCATTGTTCCTGGTCACTCCTTGCGGCGCTCAGAGTGTTTCTGATCTATTTATTATTGCTTTTTCCATTTTGAAGTGAAGGAATGCTGAATACACATGACACCAAAGCTGCTGGAACATACTAATTTTGTGCTTACTAATTAGCATGCTCCAGCAGACTTGATTAATCAAGTTTGCTCTGACGTATGCTAATTAGCAAGTGTTAGAGCAGGCATCTGGTACGTGTATAGATGCCCCTAAAGATCAGCCTTTTCCCTAGAATGATTTACAAAGGTTTTGGACTCTGACAAGTAGAGGTGCAGATACAATATGGACTGATTTGTATATCAGCACTAATAAAAGGAAAATTGACATTATCAGCATTCAGCGGTTTTTGGCTGATGTGGCTGATTAAATGTTGCATGCACATGTGCAGCTGCAGCATGTATGTGGCCAGGAGTGCAGCCTGGCAGCCTGGAGACCATTGTCTGGGTGGCAAGTCTGTTATGACAGAGGTGTTGGGGAGGGAGGGAAGGTAGTGGGGAGGCAAAGAGGACTCTGCAGTGAGGGAGGCAGTGGGGCTGGGGCAGGCACTGCACAGCAGGGTGGGGCAGGGCACAGCTGCCACTGTGTATACCCCTGGGGGAGGTGGGAAGGGGCATGTGCCCCCTAGGATCTGTGCATGGGGTGAGGGAGGGCTGCCACTGCATGCTCAGGGGGCTGTGCTGGCCTCTTCCTAGCAGCTGCGCTCAGGTGGGGTGGGGTGAGTGGCAGCAGTGGCAGAGCTGGGAGGGGGGGCTATGGTGAATTTTGGGGTGGCTGTAGCCCCTCCGTAGCCTCCCCATCCTGCTCCCATCCAGTTCAAGTGCAGCTGCTGGAAAGAGGCCAGCTCACCCCTGGCCCCAAGCAGGCAGCAAACAGCTCACCTTTGTCCTGTGTACAGATCTGGGGGGTACATACCCACCTTGCCTACCCCAGGGGTGTACACAGTGGCAGGAGCCACCCCCCCCACCAATGCTCCCCAGATGAGCTGCCAGCTGTGTCCCGTGTCCTGCCCCTCTGCTGCTGGGTAGTGCCCTCCCCAGCCCCACTCCCTCCCTCACCACGGGGGCCTCAATCTGCCCCCCATCCCATGCCCTCTTCCCCCACCCCCAGACTTACCAGCTGGATGCTGTTTTCCAAGCTGCCAGGCTGCATATTGGCAATCAAATTGCTATGGCCGATATGGCTGGTCAATAATTGGCCATTGGTATCGGCCCAAAATCTTTATCGGCGCACCCCTATTAATAAAATATCCGATGCACCAAATAAACAATCTATCTTTAAGAATTAGGGCCGACATTACTAGAGGTTGGGCTATACTTGTAGCCAGCTGCAGAAGAATTTCATTTGAGGCTTGAAGGCTGGCTACTCAGTAAATGCATGAACAGTATTTCAGTCACTGCTCCACTATTTTAGATCAGATACCCAATTTGTCAGGACTGGCCCACTGTCAGAATTTATATTAGGATGCATATTACTCATCTCTTTGATTCCTATTGAAGTGCTTCTCAAATAATCTGCAGTGGAATCTACAGGGGAAAAGTTTAGGTACCTTTTCCATCACAGTTCCTGGTACTGTGGCCTAGCAGAGGGAATTTTGTAGAGTGATGATAAAGTGAGGCCGCAGTCACATACAGAAAGAGGTTGTGTGGGAGTCTTTATTTGAGGCAAGTTAACTCTAAGTATGGTGGGTTCCAGTGTTGCTGAGTTCAGAGCTGCTGTCCTCCAATACAGGAATTCAGATAATATGAAAGGAAGATCATTATATGTAGTTCATGGTCTCTCTTTGATCAGTAACCGACCATGATTATTCTGTAGTCTGACTATCTCCTTCCTACTTTTAGGCGTAAATAAGCTAGTCAGTATAAAAATATATATATTCTTTGTTAAAAAAGTTGCTGAAACCTATGCTGAGTTAAGAAAAAACAAACATTTTCTAGTTCAAAATAAGTATGTTTTGCTTTTTAAAATAGCCACGACATTCATTTAAAGAAATGAGTTTTAATTTCTCCCCTTTGCCAGATGAGTTTGGATTCTGAAAATGGACCATATGTTTACAACACCCTGAGGAAACTATTTAAACAAACACTGGAAGAAAAAAGAAGGGGGCTTAAAGAAGGAATGGAAATCCCATTGTAATGTTTACAGAGTTATGCTGAGGGATTTGATTTCACTTACCAGCTACTGTATTTTGTGCTAATTGGCATGTATTCCCTAACCTTAATTAGCTATCAAAGATGTGTTTTTGTTTCAAAAGGGATCTGTAGTGAGACTAATTCTAGTTACACATATTGAAACTGATATTTTTTTAATGAGTTGCTGCTGTCTGAATGTACTCTTTGGTTTCAAGCTATATTCTTTTGTATTGTGAACTCTTTGTTTTAAACCTGTATTTATTGATTTAGAAATCCATTATTGGTAAGCTATATTTTTCATGTTAACTGATTGCCATAAATCCAGTGCCATGTTACATTTTAAGTGGTTTAATGTATTGAATTAATATTTGTGTTAACAATACAAATGTTTACATTAGTGCGATTCCATTTTACTTTATGTTGAATAAATATTGATGGTGCTCATAAACTGCACTTATTTGAGCTTTTTCCTTTGGAAATCTTAATGTAAGTTTAGTTATAATATGCTAATTTAAAAAATATATATATTGTTTTTAGTTGATCACCAGGAATGTTAATATAATTCTCTCCTGTCTTACAACACCTTTAATAGATTTTTAACTTTTCAGAATATGTTGCTTATTTACCAAGTTTAATATATTTTTAGTAGAAAGGTTTCTGAAATATTTTTTTCTTAGAAAAAGGTATCATCTTAAAGTGCTTAGAAACGGAGTCAATGCTTTTCTTGTTACAGATGTTTCATCTATTTTTTAAAAAATTTGATATTTAATCAAAAAAGATTAAATTTAAAACTCAGACCCATAAAATTAAATCCGTGTAAATATCAGCATCTGCAATACACTTTGCATACAAAAATCCAGGATGTAGTACCTTTATATCTTTGAGGGGGCCTTTTCTATTCATTTTATGGAGGCAAAGAGATCAGAGATGTCATCACAACTTAATTTTATGCTTAAAGAATCCTTGTGGATTAGGATTCAGTTTGTACAGTTACAGCTCATCTGGCTACATGTATTTAGTCATGGAAAAAAAACTTTCCTTTTAAAAATGGACTGACTCTTCTGAGTTTAAAAACAGAACAATTTGACACACAGATAATTTATAAAAAGTTTTAACTGTAAGATGACTCTACAGCCAATTCAAAGTCCTTTTTGTAGAAGCATCTTAAAATGAACGTGTATGGAAGGAAAATATATGAACTGTATTGTAAAAAGTGCAATTGTTAAAAAATAAAATAAAATCCAGAGGGAAGAGCTTGCGGTTTGCAGGACAGCTCCTGCTCTAACATGGTACTAACTCTCATTTTAACCAGAGCCAGCCTTTGGGAAAATGGTGCCCTGAGCAAACTTGTGTTTTGGTACCTGCTGACCCCCCAGCTTCACCCCAAGTCAGTGAAGTTGCTGCAGGCAGAGGCAGACAGGGAGGGATATAGGGCACTGTCTGCAGGGAGGCAGACACTGCTGCCCACATTGCTTGGCCCAACTTTTTCTGAGCAGTGGCTGGAGGTGGGGGGGGTGTGGTGAGGGTGGCAGCAGGGAGGTGTCTTTGGGTAGTTGAGGAGCAGTTTCTTGTCACTTTGCTTGCAAGGTTGCACTAAACAGAAGCTATACTGGGACCCTGTGGGCAAACCTAACTCTGCGGAGGCTGCAAAACTGCAAACGGTGGTGAATTAATGGCTGACAGAGTAAGGAGTTAGGATTTGTCAAACTGTCACAGGATTCAGTGGTCTCATGGGGCGTGTCCACACATACAAGCATGTACGTTTGCAGCAGCTCAAATAAAAGTGGTGCAAATTTGAGCTGGGGCTTTTTGCCTCAATGCACGTGCTGGGATATGCACTTTGGTGTGGGGCAAACTGTGCCAGTTGGGGCAAAATAACCCCATCTGGCTCTTCCGAGATCTGCAGCCAGGGGGAGCTGGAGCCCAGGGCCAGTACCTGTGCTGTCCCCAGCAGTAGTAAAAGCTGCCCTGTCCTGGCCCTGTCAATACAAAAAGCTGCCCTGGCAAGTAGCTCAGGGCTACTTGCTCTCAGGAGCTTCTGAGGTACAGCCAGTTGGTACCTGGGGACACAACCCCTTGTGCCAGCTGAACTGCTGAAGCAGCCTTGAGAGTTCCCTGCACCCTCTACCCACTGCAGCAGTCTGGCAATGGGGGCTGCTGCCTGGCTATCACCTGCTGTGCACCTGCCAGACCTGGATGGGGACTGCACAGCCAGTAGAGGCATCTGCCCAGTGGGCTGTGGCTGCAGAGTTGGGCTTTGTGCACCACTACTGCCATGGGTGCCTTCTGCCTGGCTATTGACCAGAAGATGTTCTCAGTGTGGTGGCCTGCTTTGAACTGTCACAGCATGTCCTCCTGGCCCCAATTGGCTAGGAGGTCAGCCACCTCCAGGTGGGTCCAAGGTGCCAGCTCTGAGCAGGCAGGGTCTTGCCACTGGCCTCCCTAACAGGAATTCTGATGTTCCTTATTCGAAAACTGAAAAATCCCTGATAAAAAAAATCCCAAAGTCACTCTGTAAAATACCCCGAAATCCATTATCCTCCACAATTAAAACAAAAAACCACTATATATAGAGAGAGCGCGTGAGACAGTGATCAGTTGGGCAATATTTATTGATATATCTACAGTGTTAAAGCAATTTGGAAGCCTACCAGTGTCTCTATCATCATAAGAAACTGAATTCTAAATACCTATATGTTTTGCTGTTTGCCTTTGGTTTTCTTACCATGGAGCAGTTAGAGCTTCCCTGACCCCTTCACTAACCAGGATGTGGGGACAGCTGCCCCTGCAGCCACAGCTCCTGCCACCAGGTTTCATCTGGGCTCTATGGTTGGCAGTAGCTACCCAGAGCCTGGGCCAGTTGCAGCCAGGAGGCTGCAAACATCTGCTCTGGGCTCCAGCGTTAGCTCCATACCAGTGGGTGCACGTGTTTCTCGGAGCGGATAGCAGGAGCGCTGTGCTGCCTCAGGCCCTATCCCCACTGTCCACCCTGAGGTGTGCATACACCTGCTGGGATAGAGCTGATGCCACAGCCTGGAGCAGATGTTTGCAGCCTCCTGGCTGCAACTGGCCCTGACTCTGGGTAGCTGCTGCCAACCATGGAGCCCCGTCTGCTTGCAGCAGGGCTTGCAGCCACCCAGCCGCCTGCTGGGAGCAGCCCAGGCTTCGTGGCTGGCAGCAGCTGAGCCGGCCTGACTTCCACCTGCTCCGAGCCCTTTGTCTGCCTCTGTCTGGTTCTGCGTGTCTGTGCACACACGTGTCTGGTTGTGGATGTTTGTGTGCATGTGTCTGTTCTGGTTCTCAGTGTTTGTGCACGTGGTTCTCTGTGTGTGCGTGTCTGGTTCTTTCTCTGCTCTCCTTTTTCTTTCTCTTTCTCCTCTTTCTCTTGTCTCTTTTTTTCTCTCATTGCAACATGCTCAATAAAATAGGAATACAGAACAAAGGCAGCATTTATGGTTATTAAATATACTAATTGCAGAGAGTCCTGCCACATACACCCCTGCCCTCATTTTGTTTTTCTGGCATGCCAGCACTCTGGCACCTTTCAAGGTAGATGTGGTTTTTTCGGCACTCTGGCCAAAAAACGTTGCCTACCCCTGCTCTATACCTACACAGATCAGTTTGCTAATCTAATTTATCTCTACTATGTCTGCTAGGAGTTTATTCAGTCACTCCTTTGCAATGGTAGGGAGCTAGGAGAGTCTTACCACACACTCACATCCCTCTCCTCAGGACTCAAGGCGGATGCCTGCCAGCTGGGAAATGATTCACTGCACTCCCCACTGCTCAGGGAGGGAAATAAGAATATACTGACATTCTCCAGCTAGGATGTATGCAATTGGCAGGAATGAGGCTTTCAGAGATCCAACCAAACCCAGTAGTTCTTGGTAGGACATCTGGGACTTGCATAATAAAGGACATCCTTGCAAGTTGTGGAAAGCTAGAAGAGATAGATATGAGTGGCTGCTGAGGCTGATGACCATGCAAGCTCTCCTGTCTGAACGTTACACATTTGGGAAGCTGTTAGGATTTACTGGGTTGGGGGAGGATATATGGAGTGTGGAACAGCAGCTTCTTTAGGAATATGAATGTTAGGGGATTTTTATAGTGAAGTGTTTAGGACAAGAAGAAACACATTTAGATTCATATCTCCCACAAGGTTTATTTTATGGATGGATTTTTGTTATGGGGGATGTAGTGCAGCTGGTACTGATTTCTTTTGGATGCAATATAAACTTCAAGCAGAACTTCAAGAAGCAGCTTGTAAATGCTCACTTTGGAACTGGGTTGGGGTATCCGAGGTTTGCACATGGGAAAAGTAGCAACATATCAGGCAAGGTATGGGCAGGCTGACTAGGGAAGAAGGCAGTACAAATCCTCACATGCAAGGCACCTTTCTCTATGCTCCACATGTCTTTTGTTAACAGAGTACTGCTCTAGGGAACAGAACTGAACTTTACATTAGTCTTTTGTTTCTTTCCTAGCCACAAAACAGGGCAAGAATACAAGCTGAGCCTGTGCCATGTCATAAAACTGAAACCTGTTTATTCCCCACTCTCAACCTGTCAAGGTGTCACTTGTGCATATTTTCCTCTTTGAAGATGACTAAAAGTCTTTAATTCTCATATGATTTTGAGATCTAATTAGCCTGTTTGTGAAGCACTTTGAAGATAAAGAGTACTTTGAGGCTTAAAACTACTAAAACTTACCATATGTTCTCATATAAAACATACCTTTCCCCCAAAACTAGCCAGGGGAAGTTGGGATGCATATTATATGCGAGAAATACAAACCCTCACAGACTTGGAAATTTGGCAGCAAGGGTGCAATGGCAGTATTAATGCCACAGTAATCAATGGTACCCTCACTTTCCTGCAGTCAAGTTTCTGGACCCTGACCAGATGACATGGCTTGATGCACACTTCAGACCCGGCACATTGGATCAGTCAGTCTGCAGCTGGACCCAGTGCACAGTCCAGGGGCTGGCATACAGGGGTGGCAGCAGGCTCAGGAGCAGACTTGGCTCTCTAGCTTCTGCAAGACAGTCACTGATCCATGCTACAAAGGTAAGATTTTTTTCTTCATTCTGCTTTCCAAAAAAACAATGCATATTACATTGAGGCATGCTATATTCAAGAAAACATGACTTATGCCAACTCTTAATGGCCTTGTGATGCTTCCCCGGGCCTTTTTGGTTCCAGCAGATAGCAGAAGCACAACTAGGGAGAATAAAGTGCAGATAGATGTGCTGATGCTCCAACTTTTGTAATGACAGAGCAAGAAAGAGCAGTTTCCAACATTCCCGCATCCTTATAAAAATTCAGCATAATAAACTGGGAGTCTGCATGACAAGAGATGGACTCTCCAGCAGTGGGAAGGAATAGAAATGAACCAGAGGCAGGTTAAAAGAGTTAACATTTTACATCCCAATTATGTGCTTAGTGCTACACAAG